AACCGACTGAACCACCCAGGAGCCCCTTTTCTCCATTTATTGTAAAAGCGAAAAACCTCTTTAGATTTCTTCCGGTTAGCAAAAACAGGTACTAATGGAGATCTTTTGTAAAAGTGAACTAGCATAATGCAAACTTTGGAAAATTTGGACTAAATCTAATACAATATTACATGTAAATTATACCTCAATTTTAAAGAAAAGCACAAGGAGCATTTAGGGAACAGAGCAATTGAATGGAGTATTATTGGTTAAGAGGGCCAAAGGGGAATAACTAAAAAATAGGTGAGTAGGGTGGTAAAGGACTGAAAAATACTCTGAAAGTAATTGGGATGCTACAGAAGCTTTCAAAGCAAAGGTATTAACATAAGATAGAGATCAATTAAATTACCTTGCAGTATTGCTATGAAGATTAGATGTGATAATTTATGTAATTTATGTAATACACAAAGCCTGCCACAAAGTAAATGTTTAATAAATAGTAGCTGCTATCATTTACTTGACTAGAGACAAGCCAATTAGGAAGTTACTAGGTGGGTCAAGAAGGTAGTGTGAAGGGGTGCCTGGGTGGCTCAGTCGTTAAGCGTCTGCCTTCGGCTCAGGTCATGATCCCAGGGTCCTGGGATCAAGCCCCGCATCAGGCTCCCTGCTCCCTGGGAAGCCTGCTTCTCCCTCTCCCACTTCCCCTGCGTGTATTCCCTCTCTCGCTCTATCTCTGTCAAATAAATGAATAAAATCTTTAAAAAAAAAAAGTGTGAAGACCTCTTACCTGGCAGTGGTGGTAGCAACAGAGAAGTGAGAAAAAGAGATAAAAACTATAGGTTTAACCCAATTTTCAAAAGTTTGCATTATGCTAGTTCACTTTTACAAAATATCTCCATTAGCACCTGTTTTTGCTAACCAAAAGAAATCCAAAGAGGTTTTTTGGCTTTTACAAAAAATGGAGAGAAGCAAAAATAGCGGTCAGTGTTTGTTTTGCAGTGAGCCTTTATAGAGGCAGCAGGCTCCCCAAGCAGTGAGGCACCACCAAGCTCCTTCCCTGGGAACTGTGTTCAGTGTCTCAGCATCAAGTTGCCATAGCTTTGACCTGTGTCTGTGAGCATCTGTGCTTTATCTCAATTTGCTTTGTATCTGTTAGCAAGATGTGTCCTAAGGTATCACAATAGCCTAAGAGGTTATTTTTGGGGTCTGGGACTACTAAAAAACTTTTCCATATAAATTAATGGTAATTATCTCCACTTTACACCGTGTCGGCTTACAAGTTTTCATAAGAACACTCTACTTTCAGATAGTGGAAGAAACCTGTATTTAGATTAAGAAGTATAGAGGAAGGATTTGTTTGTTGTTACTGTTTAAGGGAAAGACTTTGCATAAAACAAAAAAACGTTTTAGCAGCGAAGAATATCATCAACAAAGTATTATCTGCCCTAAATTAATCTATGAATCTAGTGCTAAACTAATAAAAAGACTAATAGGTTTAATTGGAGGGTGGCGTTTGGTTTGGTTTGGGGTTTTGTTTTCGGTGGGTTTCTTGTTTTATATTGTTTTTTAAACCAAAATTCATTGAGATAAATATTGTTATTTTTATAGATTTCTTCCAACGTTAGTTCATAGCATATATAAATGGTGTTTATTGATTAAATGTTTTTCCGTGATCATGTAAAAATTCAATTATGGCTTAAGAGTAGACCATTTAGTTCAATCTAAATACAATACTTATTTGGATCTAATTCTAGAGGATCAAATGAAATGATCTAATCTCCAGAAGAATTTTATTAAAACCATCTAGATTGGCAAAACTATCTTAGGAATTATTCTAGAAAAACTTCTATTTGAGCATATATAACATCAAGTAAAAACAGTTAAACTAGAAAGAAATTGTTCTAAATTACTTTTAAAGAGAAAAGACAGATGTCCTGCTGTGGATGTCCTATAAACCTGAATCAAACCTGTGGTGACCCAGACACCTGATGGATGATCCTGGGGGTCTCCTGATACTCTCTAGCTGCTGCCCAGGAGTTCATTTGGAACAGTGGAGGCCACTTGGGAAGAGCTGGAATTTACACTTCTTGAGCCAAATTTTGTTTGTTGTGATTATTTTTCTGGCAAGCTTTCTCTCAGCCAAGCTGCTCTTTTCTCATGGGAGACAATCCAGCTTTGATAAAAGGAAGTATTTCTTTCTCTTTCTCAAGACCATCTCCCTGTAGTAGTCACCTGTTGTATATGGCTTCATATACTTTGGGAAGTTTCTTCCAGATTTCTAAGCAGTAAATTCTCTCCTTGATGGATTTTCTGCAGATATGCGTTACATGTTCTTGCAGTTCAGCATTATTTGAAGTTGTAACTGAAGTTTTTTAATTTGAATTTCAAGCAGTATTTTTAGACTGCAAAGATTTTTGTTCATTTTGGAGACCCCTCATTTGAATTAAAAGTGATTGATTCATTTATTTTCCTTCACTTTTTAAGTTGTCCTTGTTTTTCTCCTTCAAGCCTTATTAAGAAAAAATTAACAGCATCAGTGTATTTCTTCAAATTGACTTCTAATTGGCAGTCCAGGGATTCTCAGTTTTCTGATTTTCTCTTTGTCTAATTCCAAGTTGCCATCATCCACATAATCGTCTCTAAAGAGAGCAAGCAAACTTCTCTTCAGTGTGGTTTTAGAGATTTTAACAGGCTCTTTTTATAATTTAAAGCCTCTTTCATTTGTGTTTTCAAATTGTCAAGCATTGTTTTCTGTTCCTTCATTCCCCACACTTTTCTTCCATTGCACAGCTTCTTAGAATAACAGTTTTAGGCTTTCTTAAAATTGAGTGTTTTTATCCAAACCAATCATGAGGGATGTTCTGAGGGATGTTCTTCTGAGATGCTCTTAAGATGTTTTGGCATCAGTCACTTGAGATTGAGGGGATTTTGCTGCATCTTCAAGTGACCGTGTCTGTCTTTAAAGTCAAGCCATGAAAATGAAAGTTTAGGGGACTCACTTCTGGTTTTTTTTCTCAAGTGATGGGTGGACCAGTCCAGATATTTATAAGTGCTACAAAATTCAGTGTTTATGATTTCAGAGGACTGGTCTTCACTGGAGGTGACTTGAGGGCTTCATTGGTTTGTGTAATCAGTCTAGTCTCTTCACCTACTTTAACCCCAGGCAGAGTATCTTTGGGATGGATCTTCTTTTTTCTTTTTCTCCTTAAAGTATGTCTGCTCAGTTAACTGTAAAAAAAAAAAAAAAAAAACCAAGGAGGCAGTACAGAATTTCCTGTGGAAACACATAGAGACTTGGGCCTTGTCTCAAGCATCAGACAACACTATCCGAAGGCTAGTGCAGAGCAGGAGGAGGAGGGAAGGCCAGGCTCTATAAAACAAAACTCTCTAACTTTGCTCTGCTTACTGCACAAATAGAGAGTGTATAAGTGATATTATTTGTCCAGTACATTTGGTCAAGGAGAAAATGCTGACTGCAGCCACTCAGGCGACCCAAGCCATACGTTCTATAGATGTGGAGGATTGAGGCTTAGACTAGGACTTGTGATGAGGAAAGGAGCTGGCCAAATTCTGTTGAAGTTTACTTTAGAATTCATTTATTAGTTGAAAAGGGAGAGGGCTTGTTTTAAGTGATAAGACTGGACAGAATAAGGAACCGTAGGGAGGTATTTCAGTATTTCAGTGACTTTTTTCAATGTGTATAAGTCTGTTTATTCAGTGTTTTTCCTCTTCAGTGCAATCTTGTCTTGGGTAGAAAATGAAGCAGTTATGCTACACTGGTGTTTCTGATGAAACAAGATGATTTTAGGTGGTTTACTGACTCAGCATTAAATAACACTGAGTCACATAGCAAGAAAGTAATTTCTTTCTCTTGCAAGAAAGCTCTTTGTTTCTTGCTAATTTCCTTCTTAAATAAAAAAAGCAGGTCTCAGCCTTCCGTGATCATCAGTATCCTTCTAGGTCTGAATAAAAATACTTTTATTATCTTCTTTTTTATGGTTATCTTCTACTTATGGAAGATGATCCTGATTTTCCATTTAGGGTGGTGATAATTTAGCCAAAAAAATTTTTAAATGAGTTGACTGAAAGAATAAATATTAGATAAATAATAGTATAGGTGATATGTAATTGTCAACAAAAAAATTTTAATGTTGTAATGCGCCATTCCACCATTCCACACCATTCTAGAATCTTTGATCCTTTATGATTACTTCTATATGTTTTTTTGAGAGGGCTTTGGCAGCCCAAAGAAGCTAAATTGCCATTGGAACATTTTAGGCAAGACATCAACCAAACTACCTTACACAACCTTCTGGTTTAACAAAAGCATTTTGTCATTAATTGTGATAGCATTGAGTCTTGAAGTGAAATGTAATTAAAACTGTATTATATGTATTACTCAAGATATAGGATCTCTGCAATGTGTTATTTTAGCATCATGAAATTTTAGAACACAGACATTACTGACACTTTCCTAATCAAGATGAATCTGACTATAATTTGGTAAGTCAATCAGCTCTTTGTCTTAAACCTATAAAGGTATCCTTTGTGAGCACTTCATGGCACAGACTCATCTGCAACAATTCTGTTAAGAGTTCATGTTGGTCGGGCGCCTGGGTGGCTCAGTTGGTTGAGCGACTGCCTTCAGCTCAGGTCATGATCCTGGAGTCCCAGGATCGAGTCCCGCATCGGGCTCCCTGCTCGGCAGGGAGTCTGCTTCTCCCTCTGACCCTCCCCCCTCTCATGTACTCGCTCTCTCTCATTCTCTCTCTCTCAAATAAATAAATAAAATCTTTAAAAAAAAAAAAAAGTTCATGTTGGTCAAAAGGTTGCTTCTTCAAAAATCAGAATAGTAGTTTGTTAGGTATTAGCCAAATTTCAACTAAAAAGAAATTGAATGGTCCCAGAACACACACTTGAACTCTGTCTCAGAAAATAACACCATAAATTTATTAGAATTACTACTAGCACAAATAGTATCAGGCATTACAATGTTTATTGACAAAGTTTTTTCCATTTTAAGATTTCTCATCATTCCCTCAATTAGTATTGCCAGGTGATGTACACTGTTTCTACAGTATTCTGAAGCAGAACATTAGATGTCCATATTAAATTCCAGCAAAAGTGTAAAGGAAATCATTTCATCATCTCTCAGCATTCTCACGGTGAATAAGGTGGTGGTGACTGTTCTTCAGAGAGTTTCTCATAGGCAGGTGGAGCACTGGGAACCTGTGAGAATGAGAAAGGGAGAGTATGGGCTTGGCAACAGTGCATAGGTTTCTGGGAGAGGGGTAAAGTTAGTGGTCAGCATCATATTTATACTACTTCTCTGGACTGAAACTTGTAAGTGCCCACATTTAATTCCCACCCAACAAGATAATCATTGTTAAATTTCACAAGTGTGTATGTTGAAACATTGGGGGGAGGGGAGGAGTAAAAAATAGAGCTAACAGCCTTCCCCAAATCTCAAAAACTTATTTATACCTTCATTATCCTTGTCAGTAGAAGTCCCAAGCCCTAACTGGTGAATTCTTGAACGCTGTTTAAAGTCACTAATATACATTACATTGATACCACATAGATAGATCCTTGTAGTTGTGTCTAAAGACCAGTGCTATTGTCAATACAGCACAAATGTGTTAGGCCTTCATTTAATGCTCACAACAATTCTAGGAGTATTTTCATTGTTTTCATGTTATATGTTGGAAAACTGAGTTACAGGGAAGTCAAGTTACTTGTCCAAGGTCATAAACTTCTCAGTAATTTGGCTCCAGAGTCTGTTCTTTAAACCATTATGATATACTGCATCTGTACCAATGCCGGCCAGTAGAAATAGAGTATAACACATACGTGGTTTTAAAGTTTCTAGTAGGTGCATTACAAAAATAAAAAGAAACGGGTAAAATTAATCTTCATAATACAGTTTATTTAATCCCACATATCAAAATATTATCATTTCAACATGTAATTGATATAAAAATCATTAATGAATTATTTATATTCTTTTCCTCGTACCAAATCTTTGAAATCTGGTATGTATTAGAAAATTTTAATTCAAATTACTCAATAGCCACATGTGGCCAGCAGCTACCCTGTTGGACTGAACAGCTTATACAATTAATCACAGATGCTTTTTTCCCCTCCCTTATATATATCTACATTCAGAAAAAGGCAAATATACTAAAGACATAAGACAAAAAGTATTGTATCCAGAATCAAGTTCTTCCTTTGGATCTTACATGTAGGGATTTCATCATTGATCCTGGAAAATCTGGGTATGAGAGGACACAATTTAAGAAAATCTCTGTGCGGGGCGCCTGGGTGGCTCAGTCGGTTGGGCGACTGCCTTCGGCTCAGGTCATGATCCTGGAGTCCCGGGATCGAGTCCCGCATCGGACTCCCTGCTCGGCGGAGAGCCTGCTTCTCCCTCTCCCTCTGTCTGCCGCTCTGCCTACTTGTGCTCTCTCTCTCTCTCTCTCTGTTAAATAAATAAAAAAGAAAAAGAAAATCTCTGTGCGTCCCTGTTTTTTAATCTTTGTTATTGTTTATTTTTTATTATAAAATATACATAACAAAATTTACCATTTTAACCATTTTTAAATGTACAGTTTAGTAGCATCAAGTATTTTCACATTGCTCTTGCTCTTTAAATTGGAATAATTTTATTCCTTTGAGTTAAAAGCAGCTGTATAATAAACACTGAAATGCAGGATCTCAACCTACCACAGATTCACAGTTATTCTCTTGAAACGGGAATTTGCTGTCCTGGTGACCAAACCTCTCAAATGGACATCTTCCTGTTAAGGTACTTTGAGTGCCAGCATGAATATTTTTGTCCTGAAATGTGAATGCATGAAGGTCAGTGGGTGAGAAAAAAAGAATTCAGTTCAGTAAGAAAAGAGAAGAAAGCTGAAGTTATTTTTAAGAATAGGTTTTAATCTTGGTTCTGCCATTTACCTGCAATGTGTCCTCAGGCTAGTCACTTTACCTCTCTGAATCCTATCTGTAATAATGAAGATAATACCACCTACCTTTCAAGAGTTGTAGGAATTAAAACTAAAGATAAAGCACTTAGTACAGTGCCTGACACCCATTAGTTAGTCATTGAATATTTCTGAAGGGAAGGAGAAAAAGAATTAATCTGAACAATGAACCTCCGAGAATGATCTTTTTAAAAGATTTTGTTATCCCTTTGAGAGAGAGTGCATGAAGGGGGTTACGGGCAGAGGGAGAGGGAGAAGCAGACTCCTTGCTGAGCAGGGAGCCTGATGCAGGGCCTGACCCCAGGACCCTGAGATCATGACCTGAGCCAAAGGCAGATGCGTAACTGACTGAGCTACAAAGGTGCCCCAGAACCTCAGAGAATGATTGCAAGTGGAGGTGATCAAATTAGTGAGGTATCTTAGGGCAAGCATAGGAGAAACTTGGCAGCAGGGACACACTGCCTATTTCTGCCTTTTCCATAATGACAGCAAAATATTTAAACACTACGAATGCATATGTTGTGGTAGAAATGTTGTGGTTGTAGCCTGAGCTTCCAAGTCAAGTTGCAACATGATAAGTCAATCCAAGGCTAAGTTATGCACCCTGAGTTATTGTGGGGAGGGGTGGGTGAAAGCTTAGTTTGGTGCTTTGCATAGGTTTAGGGGTGATATTCTCCATCCCTAGAATAGAATGACAACAGATTGTACAGGACAGAGACACATACCCTAGTGGGGACTTCAGGAGTTGTCCACCATGGTGAGGTGGAGTATTTCATCACTGACATAGTTTAAAATTGCTGGCACATTGTGATAATAAAAAGACTAACTTTTAGTTTCTTTTATTATTATTGTTAAATTCTCCACAGTGGTGGTTCTCAAACTTTAGCATGCATCAGTATCACCTGAGGGCTTGTTAAACACAGATTGCTGGGCCCACATCCAGAATTTCTGACACAACAGATCTAGGGTGACGCCCCTAATTTGCATTTCTAACAAGTTCCCAGATGATACTGTCAAAACTGCTGATCCAGGGCGACATGGAGAACCACTGCTCTGCACACAAAGCACTGCCTGCACCTGGGTGACCCAGCTATACTCGGATCCTTAGAAGGACTGGGCAGATAATGCATAGGGGTCAGAGGGGCCAAGTAGGGGCCATAGAAAAGGAGGCTGTGCAGATGCTGAGCAGCTCTTCAGCCTTTTCTGCAGATTGTGACTGATCATTGGGGTCTACTAGGTTGGAAGAGGGCATCAAGGTAGGTTTCTCAGGGAGAAGTGTTTGGAACATCAATGAGGTGAAGCCAGACATGGATTGGGCCTGATAACAACACAGTCTGCAGACTGTAAAGAAGTGGTTTTCCTTAACTCTAGTCTGAAATTATTATTGATGCTACCCCCCTGGAAGAATATATGCACAAGGGCCCTAATCTTGATGTAAGGATGCAGGAAGTTTCTGCATCTCTCCTCAACTCCCAGCAATATGCTGCAGGTAAGGTATTTAATGCATTTTCTCCCTTTACCTCAATTATCACTTCTACTCGTTTTCTTTTTTTTTTTTAAGATTTTATTTATTTATTTATTTGAGAGAGAGAGAGAGAGAAACAGCATGAGAGGGGAGAGGGTCAGAGGGAGAAGCAGGCTCCCCGCTGAGCCGGGAGCCCGATGTGGGACTCGATCCCAGGACTCCGGGACCATGACCTGAGCCGAAGGCAGTCGCTTAACCAACTGAGCCACCCAGGCACCCCTCGTTTTCTTATTTATAAATTTCTCACCTGCCATAGGATAGGAGCATGATCTACTCCCCCAGCTCACTGCCAGTTCTCTGCATTTGCATTCAAACTTCAGCATGCATTTTAAAAGGCAGCTTCCTGGGTCTCACCTTGAGAGAGGGTCCCAGAATCTGCATTTTAGCAAGAGCTCCTGGAGATTTGAGTACAGGGGCTCCCGACCATGCATTGAGAAACACAACATATGAGAAATGAGTATAAACTGAGCTGTCAGCAGGGAATTCAAAATTCTTCTCCAAGAATCAAAAAGCATTATGTCCTAAACTTCTAAGTGAAAGGATAAAGTTGGTAAACACAAAAACAACTTTAATCCCCTTACAAATCATTTCCTGCTGAAACAAGTTGCCTCAAAAAGCAGTCTTTCCGTTCAAAAGATGTTTTTCAGGGCTAAAGAGAATTGTGTCAGTGGAAACATTTTAAGAAATCTTAATTCCAACCAACTTTGCTACCATTCAATGGCCAATTAAAGTGGGTGAGTAAATTTTTCAAAGCTTAAAACAGGTTGCTAAAGGTGGACTAACTCAGGTATCTGAAGCTTGCATTTATTGTCACATATCCTTTGGCTTACAAGTATTATTTTTTTAAGTAGGCTCCATACCCAGTGTAGAGCCCAATGTAGGGCTTGAACTCCTGACCCTGAGATCAAGAACTGAGCTGAGGTCAAAAGTCAGACACTGAACCAGCTGAGCCACCCAGGCACCCCTATGTCCTTTGGTTTTGAAATCAAAAGAATCCTCCTCATTGGGTGTGGAGCCTAATAAATAAATAAATTAATTAATTAATTAAAAAAAACAAAACAAAATAAAATGAAAAAAAAATCTCCAAAGAGAGGCAGGGAGGTAATTAAGCAATTAAATGCACTACTTAGTGCGCTATTGTACATAATTTTGCATAAATTTCTTAGACTACTGATTCTCAACCCAGCTTTTCAGGACATGTGAAAGTCTCAAAACAAAATTTTAATATTAATTTAAAAATAAATGACAGCATTTTTAGACGCTATGGGAACCAGAGAATTTAAACACAGCTCCATCTCGAGGGGGTGGAGCAAGATGGTGGAGGAGTAGGAGACCTGGATTTTGTCTGGTCCCAGGAATTCAGCTGGATAGGGATCAAACCATTCTGAACATCCACGAACTCAACAGGAGAGCGAAGAAAAGAATAGCAGCAACTCTGAACAGAAAAGCGACCACTTTCTGGAAGGTAGGACGTGCGGAGAAGTGAATCCAAGGTGATATTCGGGAGGATAGATGGCAGGGGAGGGGCCTCTGTCGGCCACTTCTGGCAAGTGATAGAGCCACAGAGCACAAAATCGGAACTTTTAGAAGTCGGCACCGCTGAGGGATGACGCTCCAGGGGCTAAGCGGGGGGGGGAGGGGGGAACCCTCGCGGGACAGTGTGGTCTCAGGGCCCTCAGGGTCACAGAAAGACCGGGGGGTGCCTGAGTGTGGCAGAGGTCCCAGGTATCGAAGCGGGGAAGCCAACTGCAGAGAGGGAGCAGAGGAGCGGGCTCTCAGCTCCGGGTTGCCATAAACCGTGATCTGCGGCAGAGTCGGGCCACTGCTCCTTCAGCAGGGACCCAACAAGCGGCAGATCCGGGGAGACTCCCCTTCCTCCTCCGGGAGGAGCACGCGGGAGTGCACCACAGGGATCTGCTGGGTTTGGAGACTCTGCACGGGGTCGTGTGCCAGAGATAGAAATGCTCAGTCACAGGCCAGGAGAGCACGGACTGCAGCGGAGAGCGGGGAGACGGGAGTGATGACTGCTTTTCTCTGGGGGCTCACTGAGGAGCGGGACCCCGAGTTCTCCGCTCCTCCAGGGCAGAGATTGGGAGGCCGCCATTTTCACTCTAGTCCGCCAAAGCTGGACGGAAAGCTTGCAGGGAACAAAAGCTCCCAAGAGCAAACCCGAGCAGATTACTTAGTCCGGACCGGCAAGGGCAGGGCAATTCCACCTCCGGCAAAGACATTTGGGAACCATGGCAACAGGCCCCTCCCCAGAAGATCAGCAAGAACAGCCAGCCAAGACCAAGTTTATGGATCAATGAGAACTGCAGAACTCCAGCGCTAGGGGAATAATGCACATGGAATCCATGGCTTTTTTACCATGATTCTTTAGTCTTTCAAAGGGAGTTTTTTTTCTTTAACTTTTTTTTTTAATTTTTCTTTTTCCCTTTTTCAACCAGCATCTTATCAATCCCTTTTAAAAACATTTTTATTTTTTGTTTCTAGAGTCATATTCTATCCCTTCATAGTAGTTACCCTTATTTTTGGCATATATATATATATAAGTAGTTCTCTCTTTAAAATTTTGAGATACTTTCTTCTAACAGATCAAAATATACCCTAAATCTCTAGAGTGTGGCTTTGTTCTAGTCTCCTGTCTGATCACATCCTCTCCCTTTTTTTTCTTTTTCTTTTTTTAAATCCTCTTCTTTCTTTTTTCAAACAACTTTTTATCTTGTCAATTCCTTTTATAAAATTTTTTATAATTTTCATCTTTAGAGTCATATTCCATCCCGTCATTGAATCAACACATTTTTGTACATATATAAGTTTTTCTTTCTTTAAAATTTTGGGAGGCACATTCTTCTAACAGACCAAAATACATCCCAAATCTAGTGTGTGGCACTGATCTATGCACCAGCCTGATCATATTTGATCA